ACGGACATGTCTCGGGTCTCAGGAGAGAGCAGAGAAAGGGAGTGCAACGCCGGAAGGGTCACGGAAATGCCCGTCAACTGTAAACCTCGGAACACTGTAAAAGTAGCCGTCCATCAAATGCTCTTCGACGTCACGGCTCTGTCTTCAACCCGAGCTGCTCCCTCAAAGAGCCTGTAGCCTGGCGCGCCCCTGGTCTTGGAGGAGCCGGCAGACATGCATGGCAGCGGCGGCGCAGCTGCAGTTCCAGGCTCCCGATGCTTTCGGCATCTCCCTGCAATACAATCTTGAATAGGTTTAAACCCACAGAAACCTCAGAGGTGCCATGGCGAAGGACGTGTCCCAGTCCACCGATCAGCCTGCCCATGCCTCAGTTCTGCGGAGACACATGACTAGTGCACAGAGTTCAGCCATGTTTTTATACGCCGTAGCCGAAAGAGACAGTGCTCTGAGTAGTGAGTAGTGGCAGTGGCAGTGGTAGGAGGTAGCAGTAGTAGCAGAGGGAAGTAGTAGTAGTAGTAGTAGTCGTCGTCATCGTCGTCGTCGTAGTAGTGGTAGTAGTCGTAGTGGTGGTAGTGGAAGTGGTAGCGGTAGTGGTGGTGGTAGTGGTAGTGGAAGTGGTAGTGGTGGTGGTGGTGGTGGTGGTGGTGGTGGAAGTGGTAGCGGTAGTGGTAGTGGTAGTAGTGGTAGTGGAAGTGGTTGTGGCCGTGGTCGTGGTCGTGGTGGTGGTGGTGGTGGTGGTATAGCAGTAGTAGGCCTAGTCGGCGTCGTCGTAGTCGTCGTTTTTTTTTAGGGCTTGGGGTGTTGACATCTAGTACTTTTAGGGTCCTCTAGGGTGCCGTACACTATTTCTGGGACCTAAACCCTGATTCAAATAACTAGTCGTATAGAGCCGCAGGCATCACCCGCTGGGAAGTGCAGCGGCTATGCAGACGAGCCTTTTGAAGCCTGCTTGAAGCGCAACCCCGAAACTCCAAGCCCAGCACCCCAAACCCCAAACCCTAAATCCAGCTTCGAGGGAGAATGGAGGATTGCGAAGGCTCAGAGAACCTAAGCCCCTAAAGCCTCCTTTCGTGAAGGCCAAGACCTAGAAGCTCAAGGAACTCTTTCCGCTTCGCTGGCCCCAATCTCGTCAAGGCCCTGACCCTACGCAACCGTACCTCTTCAGGACACAAAATCCTCAACACCGCCCTAAACCCTAAACCCTATAAACCCATCAGAACCTCTAAGCCCTGAGAGCCGAAGTTTTGGCCGAGGAGGAGCGTCGTGCCGAGGTTTCCGAGGCGCTTGTGAAGATCGCGAACCGCAAGGGGTTTAGAGTTCGCAGGGCTGTAGGGTGTTAGGGTGCCGGGCTTTAGCTTCGCAGGATTTAGGGTTTGACTGCTGTAGGGTTTTTAGGGGTTTTAGGCCCTGAACCTCTCAGTCTTGCAAGTCTCGGAGAGTTTTTAGGATCTTAACTTTGGGCTTCTCAGCCTGAGGGTTCTAAGATATTAGACTTGGGGTTCTCGTGGTTTGGGAAGCTGTGGTACAGGGCTTGGGGCTCCAGGATCGGGGTCGATGAGCAACGATGGGCATTTCAAGGTGTCGGGGTTCGTGGCTTGCGGTTTGGGGCCTGGAACCGAGGTCCACAGGCTCTTGTCTGTTGTAGGGCATTTTAGGGTTTAGGGTTTCGGGCTGAAGCTCCAGACTTCCAGACCAAGGTTGTGTTTCAAGGGCTGCTGTTCCTGAATCCCGAATGCCCAAAGACCAAAAAGACTTGAAGCTCTACATAGAGGAAACGACCCCGGGGCCTCTAAACCCTGCAATCCCAGAGACTCCAAAACCTCAAGCAATACACTTTAAACTTTAACTATAGGGGGATCCTTTGGCACCCCTTAGCCCTAAATCGGCCGAGGGGCGCTGAAGCCTGTGAAGGTTTCAGCATTAAGGGCCGTATCCGCCACACCTCGTAAACCGAGGCCCTTGCATTCCACAACTCAAGCCCCAAGCCTGGAATCCAAAGCATTGAGACTCTGGACTCGAATCGCTAGACCCGAAAACCTCAAAGCCTAAACCCCAATCCCTCAAGCCTGCACCGGGAGTTGGTAAAACCCTTCCGGAGAATGGACATGTCATACCTCTTTTCACTGCCACGCTGTCGAATGTCGTCCCTGTAATAAAGTCGCACGTAGCTCCACCAGTCGTGAGTGCAGGAGTACTGCCAAGACGCAGGGAAGGGGGTTCAGAGCCCTAAACCCTAACCCAAAAAGTCTCCCTAAACCGTAATGCAACAGAGTGTTCGCTGAGGGCTTTCGGATCTACGATCCTTGTCAGTAAGAGCACTGGATAGCGGTATCAGGACAGGCTAGAATGTTAGAATCAAGTTGAGCAGCAAAACTGGGGCTGAATACGAGGAATGTTGAAAACCTTGGTCCTAAAGAGCCTAATGCAGCCGGGAATCGAAGCTGGTAATTGGGGCGCAGAGTTTAGGCTTTTAGGGCCCAGGTATATAGAGGCTTAGAGTGTCGGGTCGCTTAGTGAGCGGGTTACAGGCAGAGTGTCAAGTGTTGACTGCCCCAGCAGTGCACCCGCTTTGTCAGGCGGGGGGGGGGGCGGGTGACGTGACCCTCAGATGTTCTCTTTCTTTGAAGCTGCTAGCTGCTGCTAGACTTTTCTAGGATGCTGTGGACACGCACATGTTATAGTTGTGCTGTCGCATACTTGCATCGTTGCTTTGCATTCACTTGAGGCAACTCGCCCCAATCATGTACAGAAGTCCCAAACCAAAAGCCGAAATCCACAAGTCCACCGTGCGCCTGGGATCCCCGATGCTTCCCGTGCCAGGAGCCACAGTGGCGAGGCCGATCGTGGTAGCAGTTGGCCATGCAAGCCCCTAAACCCTAAACCCTAGTCTTGAGACCGAGGACCGCGAAAGCCCACTCGATACAACTGTTCACCCCTCTGTTAATCTAAGATCTCTAGATTTTGTTGTGGACGATCGTGTTTCCTCCTCATCCTCCCTCAAACAGCATCTGCTGTATGTAATGTAATGTTATGTTATGATATGTTATGATGTGTTATGTTATGTTATGTTATGTTATGTTATGTTATGTTATGTTATGTTATGTTATGATATGTTATGTTATGTTATGTTATGTTATGTTATGATATGATATGTTATGATATGTTATGATATGTCATGATATGTTATGATATGTTATGATATGTTATGACATGATATGATATGTTGTGATATGTTATGACATGTTATGATATGTTGTGAGATGTATGATATGTTATGATATGTTGTGATATGTATGATATGTATGATATGTTGTGATATGTATGATATGTATTATATGCATGATATGTATGATATGTATGTAATGTATGTAATGTATGTAATGTATGTAATGTATGTAATGTATGTAATGTATGTATGACATGGATTCCTTAGCCTTCTGGGATATGTATAAAAGTAAAAAACAAAAATAAAACACAACACAAACAAAACACATCAAACAGGCCAGGAGCCAGAAACACAGCAGAAAAAAACAAGAAACAAACAACAACAAACAAGGCGCCGGTCCCTGAGGCTAATTTTTTGGTTGTATTTTATCTGTTTTTTGTCTGTTTTATTTTTGTTTTGCCCACGGAGAAAACAACAATAAACCAAGCATAAAGCAACAAGAAAACACAAATACAACACGAAGAACACACAAAGGAAACAACATTAGCACACAAACACAAAAGTACAACCCGACATGCCCACCTGTTCTGTTTATTTATTTTTATCTTTGTTCCTTTTTGTTTAATTATCTTTTCCCCACTTCCAGATGTCACAGTGTTTTCCATGTTTTACTTCTATATCACTGTCCCGAGCTTTGTTGACGGCTCGTATGACAACCTACCGCCTGCGAGCTGCTCGGCTACATAGGGGCCCCTCTCCTGACAGTCACAACTTACCCCTCTTGTTTGCAGAAGTTAACTCTCAGGTCTGGTTAGCTGACGGTAACGTTTCGGCGACCCGGATTTCGGATTATGACGTCGTGAACTTTTCCAGTGATATGTATCTGTTGTTTTACACGAAAGCTTGATTTCCACATGGAGGCTTTGCTTTAGGGCATTAGTGCCGGATGCTTCCCAATATCCTTGAGGAGGAGGATGTGCAACGCACAGCACCAACCTGGAGCCGGGCATAATGTCTGTCCTCATATTCGCTCGCTGAAGCATGTACTTCCGCAACGCCGAAGTCAAAGTATGGATGTACGTACGTACGTAGGTAGGTATGTATGGATGTATGGCTGTATGGATGTATGAACATATATATATATATTCATATATAATACATATACATGTATATGCATGCATGCATGCATGTGTGTATGTGAATATGTCTCAGCAACAGGGCGCCCCTAGCAACGGGGCTTGGTGTTTTCTTCGGTGCTTCTCTGCGGGACATCTGGGTTTGGATTGGTGTGCCCCTTGACCCTCGGGGTCCTCCTTCCGACTTCGGGGCGCTCCGCCAGGGGCTGTTCGTGATAGCCTGTGCCTTCTATCGCCATGGCCCTTGAATCTCAGAAGAATCGCAGTGGCACGAGCAAAGCCAACAAGATGCCGACTCGCTCTATGATGCTCTATGAAAGGCGCGAGTCCGTTGCGTTTCGCCCTATGGCACTTGAACCTAGCCGTCAGGATCACCAGCTATGCAGCTGTCTGCCTCCCAGGGACCTCGTGCCTTACCCCAGACTTCCACCAAGCCAAAACTGTCTCAGGTTTGTGTCTGGGTGTTTCGTGGAACGGTGCTCCCCATCCGTTGCTCACTGCCTCTGACAATGTCGAGAGGCCAAACAGATACACGGTCCGCAGTATACTCTTGTGCGGCCTCCTGTATGGCTGCCAGTGCAAACACAGAAGGAAGCCGATTGAACAACGCCCATGCACTCGGCATCCCTTCAGGTCCGTCTCGTGCCATACAAGACACCCAGCGCTGCCCATGCAGTGGCCGGATTGCGATGAAGCCGATGGACAAAACCTTCTTCAAACTTCAGAGCCAGCTTGAGCCGATGACCATCGAGGAACGCCGACGCACTGCCCTCACTAGTTCAACTACCGGCAACCGTTTTGCCTACTCCAATAGTAGGCCATGTGTGGTGCCGCCCCCTTCCTCCTGCAACACCACAGATCGCCTGCCACCTGTATGCCCTATGGTACCGTGCCCGCTTTGGAGACGATGGACTAATGGCTTGGCATGGCTTATAAACATACCTCGCTCTGCTGATGTGACATGCACTCTGAAACACCGTTGCTGTGAGTCTGCAGTCGCTAGTTTAACAGCAGCCTTTCATTGCAGCTCTCACTGTACCGTAGTCCCTGCACCTCTTTGGCCTCTCCACCCTCCGTGTCAGCTCCTCAGTGACACTCCTCCATGCTCGCATCGATCGCTGCAGTGGCCCAGGTTCGAGGTGTCCTCGCCTGGAGCTTACTTCTCTTGTTTTGAGGTGTCGTCGGCAATATTGCCCTCATGCTCTCAGCCATGTCTGCTCGCCGGCCGACACAGAAGCAATTTGCAACCCTCCTTGTCTCTGTGACCCCATTCAGCCTTCCTGAGGGACTCTTAGATCCGCCTTCTGCGCTGAGCCCACCAGCCATCAACGCCAACTATTTTGTGGAGATTCCCTGCATCGCCCCTTCAGAGCGCAGCCGCAGTCGGAATCGTAGCCACCAGCCGGTTAGTCCTGCCATACTACTTGGAGTCGCCATCAATCAATGTGGTCATTACTCTGCGAGCTTACTCTGAGGCTGATGCCTCTCATCTCCACTCTGTCGGCCGCCATGAGCTTTGCAGCAACACAATCAGGCCATATTCCACACGGCTCAGCCTGACCCTGGTCTCTCCCAGCCAAGCCCTCAGATCCCTTCAAACGTTTGCTGCGTCAGCTCAAAGAACATTTCTCCAAAGATGTGACGTCATCTTCGAGGCAGGAGAAAAGGCAATGAGGGCAGCGACTCAGACCAGGCTGCTTAAATAGGAGGCATACCCTCTCCAATTCCGGAAGAAGTGGCTCTGACAGCTCTGATGATTGGAAGACGGGGCTGCCTGAAGAGTTTTCGGAGGGCCTAGCCCAGAACAATGCGTAACAGAGCAGAAACTGCGTTTTTACAGTGTATCAAGTGGAGCACTGCCGCCTGGTGTGCGCACACGCCTTAGCAAGCAGCCGCCTGAACAGGCCGACTTGCAGCAGCTTCTTCTTGACTCGCAGCCAGCACGCTGACGGTCAAGCTCTCTTGACCCAACCAGAATGGCTGCCTTTTCTTGAAACCGCTGGAATGAGGCACCTCCCGGTGATTGGCTCCTTGCAGTCCTTGCCCAGCCTTTTAGACATCCGAAAAGCCCAAAGGTCAACAGCCCCCCTTGAGGCAGCGCCCGGGATTGGCGGCTACCTTCTCTGCTGCTGTGGCCCCAGCTGTTAAGAGAACCACACCATGCGACGTTTCAGAGCGTCTTCCCCAGTTTGGTTTCAATGCTGCCCACCGGCAGCACGCTCGGACACCCAGCAGGGTGCTCACACGCAGACCGTCCTGCAGCTGTGGCATCTTCGAAAAGAGCGTCGCCGTTTCCTGGCCAACCGAGATCCTGCAGCACCGTCAGGCCGAGCTCCGAGCCAAAACCAGGAGCTGAAACTGTCCTGCAAGCGCTCCAAACAGGAAGCCGAGCAGGCGGCCCTCAAGGGACTTAATATGACGTGTGTCAAGTTGTCAGACGCCTGGCCCCTAAGAGTGCACGAACCCATTCTCTTCCAGGACGTAAATGGTGCACCGTTGTCCACAGAAGCTGCTTCGGAAATCTTTAAAGATCGGATCACTCCGAGCCCGCCACTTTCACTCCGGACGAGGTTCATAATGCTCTGCTACACCTCCACTAGGTAAAGCTGTCCCTCCTGGCTGGCGCCTGCTCCTCTCTGGATCCATGCAGCCGCCCCGATTGCAGACATTGTTCAGCCTGCTCTGCGAGACTTGGTGCTGCTCCATGTCGCAGCCTATGCCAGGCAACTGGCCTACCGCCGCAGTGTGTTTGCTCAACAAACGCTGGAAGAAGCCTTCGAAGGCACCCGAAAATTTACGACCAATCGCGCTCCTTCACCCAATCTCAAAATGTCTAGCCACCCTGGCTGCCGGCAGATACATCGCAGACGTGAGGGGTTGGCATGGGTTGCACCGCTGTCACCAGTGGTTTGCTCGAACACAGGACATTTTCAGACATCTGCGAAAACAGCACCCCTTCACCGCCGCTCTAGAGGCTGAAAGGCACAACTGGCTCCTTGCTAGAACAACTGTAGGGGCCCGCTCCCCGTTGGTGCTCAGCCAAAGCTTGATACAAATCCCAACATGTCCCAGCATGCTCGGTTCTGCAACAAACCATCACTCTTCGGATAGGCATCGATCACGACACTCGCCATCTCCAGTGGCAGCGACAGCCTCCTGGAGTGCAAGCAGAAGGAAGCCGAGGCGGAGCTAGCGCTCCTTCAGTGTTGGGGGGGCGAGGATCCGATGGAGCTGGAGGCACTGCAGGGAGACAAAAAACAGACGGACGACAAGGACCACCCGCCATTGATGGAACCACGGAAGTTTCAACGCCGAGAGACCAAAGGAGGATTCGGTGGGGCGGCGGGAAGGGCAAAGAAAACGAAGGACAGCAAGAACCTGGACTCCAACCCAGGCGACCCCGCTTCCCGACCCCAACGCTCCCGGAGGCAACCAGCGACTCGACTTCATCCTCTTCTTCAAGAAAGCATCCAAAGTGAGCCTCCTGCCCATGTTCATTCGCAAGTCGGAACATTGGCGCGACTTGAAGAATCAGAAACAGGACGAGTTGACACTCTCCCTGAGAGCATTCTTATTCCGGTCCATGTTCGATGCCCTGCAGACACGACTACTGGAGACGGTGAAGGATCCCTCCAGACTCGAGATTGCAGGTATTCCTCCCGCCTGTGGAAGGGGAAGCCCTGCTGCAGATACCCTATCTGGTCTTCAACTCGGAAGGACGTCGCTTGGAACCCAAGCAGGGTACCACGCTTCTAGGGAGAGAGATTCCATGTGCAAGCGTGTGGGATGGGAACATACGCAACACTACTGCGAGATCCTATACTCCTTGCTACGCATGCCTTGGGCACTTTGGACGAGACACCTTTTAAGAGGAAATTCTGCAGACGGTCTGGGCGCATGTAGACAGGAGTGCATCCAGACCGAGGTGGGGTGTTAGCACTGATGCCCTGCCCGTTTTGCACACCTGAGTGCACATGAAAGCCCATTTGGGCCGTTGTGAGAAAAGAGTTTGACACTGGGCAATGGCATTCGAACATCGCAGGAACTCGTACCTTGTATATAGAGTTATCGGCCATGCACTTGCCATGTCATTTCGTATCACCATGCCGTCCGATTCCTACACACGCACGTGCTTACATACCCACATACATACATACATACATACATACATACATACGTACGTACGTACGTACATACATACATGCATGCAGACAAATTTCAGACTTATTTACATGTTTACACATATACAAGCACATACATACATACATACATACATACATACATACATACATCACACGCGGTCCTCTGTGCATGCACTCACCCGTGGGACACGGAGCATTTGGCTCCAGCTCCTCAGGTTCAATGCCACTGGGAGGGGTGCCCGACGGCGCTATGTCAAGGACCATAAGCCTGTTACTGCATCTCACTGATGAGTTTCTCTTGCTAGTTTTTGACGGCAATGACTCTCTCGAGATCTCTCATTTGCCATTTCAGGCCACGGCGGTCGTCTTGCATCATGGGTCACAAACGACATCCGGTCACTACCGGAGTCTGCTGCAGTTTTCAAAGACGTTGTGGCGCACTGATGACTGCATTCCAGCACGGCTTATGTCATCCTCTGCCTTGGCATCACGGCTCTCCACAGATTCCTATCTGTTGCTGTGCAAAGCCGTTGAGGTCTCCACACCTCTGCCATCTGATCCTGCCCGTACTGAGCGAGTAGATGCGGCAGCACTGACGGCTATCGTGGCCTAGTGCTTGCCTCATAGGCGTATAGAAAGCAGTCCCAGCACTCACAGGAAGTGCCGATGTCCAAAGCTGACATTGCTGCTAAGTCAGCTAGGCGAACCGAACTCCCGCTGCGTCTCGAGGATGTATGTATGTATACCATATATATATATAAATATATAAATATATATAAATATATATATATATATTTATATTTATATTTATTTATTTATGTATTTATCCATATATACATACATATGTTACCCCCCTCATGCGCCCACCGTTTCTTCAAGTTTTCTGTCTTCTGCTATGACAAATGCATGTTTTCAGAGAAGAACTGAACGCAAGAATTCCTGAGAACCCCCGAGCACATTTCTGTTTCGCTATATAACGGAAAAAGTCTCCCACTTTCGCATGCCTGGTCAAAAAACCATTCGTATGGTAATCCCTCCTCCTATGTAGTTTGCTCTTGGGATGTCTTTTACAAAGTGCAAGCCGGTGTTCCCTCGGAAGTGGCATTGCTCTACCAAGAGGCACCATTCCTGCAACTGTTCAGCATAACAGAGCCTCTTTGAACACGTTCTTTCACATGCGATGCAGCATGCATTGCAATCGAGGCATGTCGATCGCAGCCCTCTCGAGGCAAAAGCAGTTGTGCTTTTTGTTGTTTTTCATGGTAGCGGAGCACCTGGCTGACCAGGTGCGTCCTTAGCTGACAAGGTCTATCGCAGACCAGAATGGGTACGAGGTTTGGAGGACACTGACAATGCAAATGCAACCATCAAGTCGTCAGCGCCAATCGGCGCTGGTGGCTCAACTTTCCACGGTCTGCTTCGACACTGCCAAGATGCTCTCCGAGAAGGTGACGCACTACGAGGAGATTATCGCCGAGTACCAGCGGATCTCCTCCTTGAAGTTCTCCGAGGACCTCAGAATAACGACGCTTGCGCAGGCAGCTCCTTCTGCCCTTCAAGTGCAACTTCACATGAGCCTCAACTCGGAGACCGCCTACGCGAAGCTTCGGGAGCAAATTTTGGCATATGAGAGATCAGCAACGCGCTGGCAAGTGAGCTCTACCTTGACTTTGCCGACTACGACCACTTCTGCCCAAGGACAACCCAGCGACACCAGCGGTCCCATGGACGTGGACCGCGTGGAGAAGAAAGGGAAGGGCAAGAAGGGCAAAGACAAGAGGTGCAAAGGAGACCCGAAAGGCAAAGTAAATGGAAAAGGAGGAGGCAAAGGCGATGCCACCGCCAAGCCCAAAGCGAAACCCAAGGCGGAGTGCTGGCACTGTGGGAAAACCGGGCCGTGCGCTCGAGATTGCCGATCAAACGCCAAAGGGAAAGGCAACGGGAAGGTGCAGCAGGTGGCCCAGACCGAGGACCGTCCTTGCCACCTTCTTCGGCAAGCTCCACCTCGACCTCTGGCACAGTTGTACGAGCAGTTCGGTGAGTCCGCATGCCACGACCCCAGCAACGAGAACAGGGAGCCCAGCGCCCAGAGCATCCTGGACACTGGCGTGGACGCTTCTATGGCTTTGGAGAGCATGCGAGAAATGGGTGCCGCCGTTGGCCGCAACACTTCGCTTCCCCGGCTTATGCGACGCCCAGACGCCCAGGGCAACGCCATCCCGACCCACTCGCCGATATGAGTTTTGGCTTTTTGCAATGCCAAGGGCGAGGCCTACTGCTTCAAGGAGGTTTGTGTGGTTGGCCGTGTTAAGATGCCTTTGCTGGCCGTCGGGAAGTTGTTTCGCCAGGCCTGGAGCTTAGTGCATCGAGGCGCCGGGCTTTCTCTGGAAGAACTCCGAGGCCTACACCGCACGCCGGTGAGGTTCAAGAACAACTCCTTGGCAGTGCCGGGCGAGATTCGTGCCATCACTGAGGTGCCGCGGACTTTGCCGCCGAGGGTGCCCCGAGGGACGCTGACCGAGGAGATGCAACAGCTTGTGGGGCGAGAAGGCATGGCACAAAGTTTCACTATACAGCCCTTTCCAGCCCGACCCTGGTACGACGCGAACTTCTTCAAGGCCAGGACCACTCTTTTCCAAAGCGTGTCCGGGCAATGGCTGCAGGTGGAAAGCAGCGCCGACTATGTCAACGAGCCCAATCCGTTTACCCTCGCCAGCAGCCAGCCGAAGCCCAGGATCACAATGATTTCGTCTTCGCCGTTTTCTGTGGATTTCTTCCCGGAGGGCGGGGTACTGTGAACAAGTTCGGTGTGAGCAAGACGTGGAAGCTAGGGCGAGTCCTGCCCGGCCAAAGGAGAGGTGCACAAGAATGGTAACTCCAGCTGGCTCGAGACCTGTTGAATGCCGAGCTGGAGTCCTGGCTGGTGACCTGTTGAATGCCGAGCTGGAGTCCATGCCGGAGGTGAGCACCACCCATAGCGAGCACACCATGAAGATTGCATGAGTTCGAGTTCCTCAAGCGGAGGTACCAGATCCAGAGCTTTACAACGACCTCCTCGAGCTTGCGGGAAAACCCAAGGTGAGGAGCACCCCTGGGCCGAGCGGTCAAGACGACATGTTCGCGGTGGACACCACGGAGGAGCTCAACTTCCATGAGGCCACGATCTACCGAGCCATGCTGGGAAAGGTGCTTTTTAGAACGCAACGAGCGCCCGGACGCCCAGGCGGTTATCCAGAACCTCTCTTCCAGAGCAGCCAAGCCAACAGCCAAAGTGATGAAGCTCATCAAGCATCTGGTGGGTTACCTTTGGGGAAGCCAAGGCTATGGAGTAAGTCGGTGATGAACTTTGCTCGTGGAAAGCTGCGCCCCGACGACCCTTTTTCAACGACCGCCTCGTGGAAGGCTACTCCGACTCGAAATTTGCCAACGTAACAAACAGTTCAATTTTATGCCCTATCCCTTTGGGAGCCTAATTTGGAATGTTTCACTCCGTTGTGTC